TTCCTCTTCGATATCTAGCAACTCTAGATCCATCTCCGTGACCCTGATATCTTGCAGACGCGCCATTGTTGTTTTGGAATATTAACACCCCCGCCGGCGCTGACGAAGTTCTTGTGACCATCCGCTGAAGTTCTCACAAGTTCTCGAATAGGCTCCCCTTGAGCTTTGACAGGAAACTGTGCGTCACTATAAATTCCAGACCGGCGGTGCAGAAGCATGCCAGCAAAACTGGTTCACGACCAGACCCAAGCAACATTTGATGTGTGCTGTTGCAGAAGTCTAATCTGCCCTTTATCCTTCAGCAGGGACAGGGTAGCTGGTATGAGTTGATGGGAAAGTGGATGGAGCTAAAAAGGGGACAATCCTGGAAGCAAACATGTTAGAGACTACAAAACACTTTAAACTAGGGATTTAAGTCCTTGCAGTAGAATAACATGTAATACAGAATACTGCAATGGGATATTAAGGATCAGTACAGACCTGATATAAGTCCAATTTAAGATCTACACAAACACTTGGAAATTTATGGCATTTAGGTCTCTATACAATCAAAGCCAGAAGAGACATCCCAAAAAATATAAAACTTAAGAGTCAAAGGTGGCCTCACACAGTATTGTCTTAGAAGACTAGAATTTCATGGCCAACTTCTTTCTACTTCCGCTTTACATCTATGCACTTTTGGGATTGTGGTGCAATGTTGCAAAATAAGCCAAAATTAAAGGGGTCCATAGTATGTAAAAAAAAAAAAAAATTTAAATGCAGGTTTACCATCCTGGTTGTCTGACTCGGTCTTGACTCGGACATACGTCGTTGATTTCACTCCTTCTCCCACGCAGAAATTTTTCTTCTTCAGGGCAACAACTGTTTTCTCTACCTAAAGCAGAAATATGAAGTGTTATCACCTTTCCACTTGTTTTGGTCCATCTCTCATCATACTTATCCTGCATCTTATTTACCTTCTTTTTTAACCAGTTCAGGGTTCGTTCCTGACTGTAGCGATGAAACTTTTGGCTACCAACCTCTGCAAAAAAAACAAACAAAAAAAAAACATGCATTAACAAGGCATATTTAAAATAACAGCAATTACTTAAAAGGACAATAATATTGATGAAAAGCAAGCATCTCAAAATGAAAAATCATGCAGTGCTATTTGCTACAGGGCAATTTGTTCTAAAAAAAAAAAAGAAAATAAAAAAAAAAAGAACCAAATGAGCAAATTGATTTACTCAAAGGAACTTTACCTTTTTCATCTGCAATATTATGCAACGCACTCAGGGAACATGAGCAACGGAGCAGCCTGGAGCTCTCTGGAAAATCCTCATCCTTAACAACTTGATTCACAGGCTGAAATTTCCCCTGAGTGGCAGAAAACAGAAATAAAAAAAGAACAGAAACATCCTTTAGTCCATTTTTAGTTGAGATTTTCCAACAGACCAAATTTATTTCGGTTGGTTTGCGCACAATGATTCAAGGCAAGAGCAGCAGCACCAAGAAAGCACACCGAAAGTACGTGTTATTTTCATTTGCAGTTATTATCACACATTCAAAACTCATGAAATATGAAGCAAAGTAGAGGGACAAATGATGTAAATAACATCTAATAATGTAATTATATTTAAAACAATGAATCATCTTGGTGGAGCTGGTAAAATCTCTGAGAAAAGTCAGAGTTTTAGTTCTTACCTCTCTGCTAGAATGAATCATATATGGTAAAATCAGATAGAGGGGATCCATCGGTGTTACAAAGAGGAGTTTTCCATCTGATTGAAAAATACACAATGCATGCTATTATTAGTTACACACAAGAATTTACAACCACCAGACAGACAAAACAACAAAAACACGCTATATACCTTAATAAAAATAAAGAGGGAATAGCTTTGAACTTTAAAACAATCAAATCTACAAAGTAAACAAAATATGCTTAAAAACATGTTTTTTTTTTCTCCAAACAGATTTAATCTGTTTTGGCCTTCAAATGATCTTCAAACAAAAATAATATTAAGGCCTGAACACACCAGTTGCGTACGACTTTTAAATCTCCGATCTGATTTTCTTCTACGTCACACTGACAGCATATAGAGGCTCTGAGTGTGCAGATTTTTTTCACTTCTGTCTCTGTGCTTTACAAAAATTAAAACTATTTCCCACCTTTGACTTACACAGATTATGAAGTTATAAAAAAAAAAAATATATACAAATTTAAAAAAGCACAGGCTCATTCTTTAAAGCAAAGCCCCACTTAATGAGTCTGTGCAGCATCTCAAACTAGAACAGATAGAAATATGTTCATATGCTTATATTAAAAAATATAATGAGATCTACGTCTAATGAAAAGAAAAACACATCAATAAACGCTGTGGGATGGTTTATATGCTGACTGAGGCAGTGAGAGGTGATTCTCAGAGAGATCTGGGAAGTTTTCCTTTCTTTTTTTCCATAAAGAGGTGAGAGAGATTCACTGTTCTTACCTGCTCTGTCTGCCCCTCATTATTTTGTTTGTGGGGCTCAAAGAGGATCTCTATGTTACTAAATCTGGCTCCTTCTGGAGGAACCAGATTTAGTAGACCAGATATTTTTTTTCCGAGGAGATTGATAAAGTGCACTGTCTCTACTCGTTTTTGCAAGGCTCAATGAAGATCAAAACTTTACCCGTTTTCTGTCCTGCTGAATTTCTATCATGACTAAATTAATCTATTTTAATTAAATTAACTTCAGCAGTTCTTTTGTTTTTTTTAGACGATTATATTTATTTAAACAAAGCAATCATGACCAACTTGTCTCTGAAGGAAAAAAGTGTCCTAAACTTAACAACTGATGAGTGTCCAATATGGTGGCAAAAACTTAAACCAAGCTTTAGCCAAAACTGATCTTTTTTAACTGCAGTCTCTTTAATCGCTGGGGAGCAATTCTGCCGGACTCTTTCTTGCAGAAATGTTTAAATCCTCCACATTGTCTGAGTATTTTTGCATTAAAGACCGGCCTACAAACATGTTGCAGCAACTTGTTTGGCTTTAAATCCAGCCTTTGGCTAGGCCACTTATTTATGCTTCCACTCAGAGGGAAACTTTATGGTAACTAAGGACAAAAATGAATGGATGGGCCATTATTTACAGAAAGGTATCCAGGTAACAAAACAAGACCTCAGACCACCACCCCACCACCACTGTGCTTGAAGGTAATTTTTGAAAAAATCTATTTTATTTTTATAATATCTCTAAGAACAACTTTCAGAAAGATCCACTTTAGTCCCACAGCTCAAAGTATGGTTTTGTTTCTCCATTCTTGGATAATAGCTCTCACTCTGGATCCCTGGAGTTTGAATCATCAGGAAAGGCACCGTAACCCTTTTCAAAAAAACAAAGGCATGGAAGACTATGTCATCGGTTCTTGAATTTCATCAGGAAAGAACATGATGACGGTTTTTGTTTTTATTGTTCAGCCAACTTCCTTTTTTCAAACAGATTCTCTTCAGGTGACTTGTTGATGGTACAGGTCTGGTAATACTTACTCAAGTTGCGGCTTTTACAATTAAACAAAAACAATTGAATTAATAATAACAGTTAATTACTTAAAGATAGAGAAGACAATCATTTATTTTCAGGTGGATCATCTAAATAAGAGGTGTTCTATAATGGTCAATAATTCTGGTGATATGTTTATGTAAGGCCGTCCTACGTGCTCGTCCTGTTAGCTATCTTTTTGTGCGCATGCGCACTTTTAGGCGTATATGTGTGGTGAGCCACCAAGCTCACCTTTCTCACCACGGTTATTTGAAAAGTGTCTACGAAGTGAATGAGAAGAAAAGAAAAGCCTCCGAAGAGGCAGATATTTCCCAGAATGCTTTGCGCAGAGAGCTCTCCACGCATTTAATTATCTTTTAAATAATTTGCAAAAATCCTCCACAATACCTTAAACAACAAGGGTAACATTTTTTCTCATAGTGCCGGATTGCTGAAAAATCTTTTGGCTTCCAAAAGCATAAAAGCATAAAATCATAAAATGAAAAACTGAAGTGAAGTTCTCTTTATCTGATATTTAGATTTTTTTTGTATATTATTCTAAATTCATAAAAACACTTTAAGGTTTCTATCTGTGTTTTTGAGCCAAGTCACTTCAGAAATGGATGATTTGAATTTTTTCAGTTAATCTTTTATGTAGTTTAGCCGTTTGCAGTTATGCTGATGGGGAAACAAACAACATGAAGAAGCTCCAACTTTCTGATTGAAGATGAGACCCACCTCGCTGCACAGTCTGTCCAACAAACCAGGAGTGGAAGTCTTCCTCAAACGCTTTGACCTCATACAGCTGTACATCACCACTACCAAACATATACAGAGAAGCCTCGCCTGCAAGAGAGGCAGAAAAAAAAATAGGAACAGTGTTAATTTCACTTCTGCAACAGCAGGAAACAAATTTAGAAAGAGTCCAACCCAAGCTCTGGGGAAACAGGCTGCAACTTGACACGTTTTTATTTTTCTTTGCAGAGTTTATCTGATCCCTTTTTTTAAACCTTTGCTTTTATGGAAGGCTGAATCATTAGCGAATAATGTTGAGATTTAAAGGGTGTAATGCGGGTCAAATGAATATGCCACAGCAATTTTAATCACTAATAAAAAGAAATGTCTGGAAAAGTGCTTTTTGTTCTACCTTCACAAACATCAATATTGAGTGCTTAAAAACTATTAGTAGAACTTTAACTAGAAGCATGAGCGATGGTCTGATTGCACACAGATTTAACATTCCAGGATGAACAGCATAAAAAAAAAAAGGACGAATCCGGAATCTTAACTCTATATTATTGATCCATAAGGATTCTTTTTGTCGAGACATTTAACTCAGAGTGCACATATATTAAAGAGGGAAAATAAAAACACTTTGGAGAAGGAATAAGCATTCTTAAAAGAAAAAACATAAAAAATATAATATATGTGAGAAAGTAAACTACATAAACTTATAGCAGCTAGAAAAAAAATGTAGCATGATGTATTTGCATAAGATAAAGCTCATTCAGGCAATGAGTCTGGACATTTTCTAGACTCTTGGAGCATAAAATGTGTCCAGATATTGCAGGCAGCATCCCACAATCCTTTGTGCTGTCTTCACCACCTGTGTCCTCCTCCTGTCCTGTGCAGCACCATTAACTCACCGAGACACTGGACATAATATGTGTGAAAACACCTCAAGATCACTGTTAATCATAAGGATCAGTCCACTGGAACTTTTATTATAACAAGTATCAAGACTTTTTGAATTAAATAGCCAGTGGCCTCTTAAGGTAAGCTAAAAATGAGACACAACTACGTCTTTCTGATGTAATAATGCGGATCCCCACAGAAAGTGTTCACCATGCCCAGAAATCAAACTTCCATAAACTTTTATCACCTGTGGATTTGAGCAAAAATGAAATCCTATTTTTGTTTTAAGGACTTTGAATGATTTATCCATGCTTTCATTACATCCCGGTTGGATTACTGCAATTCATTATATAGAGGCATGGATAAATCACAGATGCAGCGACTTCAATTGATCCAGAACGCAGCGGCTCGGCTTCGTACTGGAACCAGGAAGCGTGACCATATAAGGCCTATACTGGCCTCTTTATATTGGCTGCCTGTCTTTTACCGAATAGATTTTAAGATTATTTTATTAACTTGTAAAGTCTTAAATGGATTAGCTCCTCCTTATCTTAGAGACCTTTTAAAATTACAGTCAGTGTCAAGAATTCTACGTTCAAATAATTAACTGTTACTGACAGTTCCTCAAACTCGACTTAAGAGGAAGGAGATCGGGCTTTCTCTGTTGTTGGTCCAATTCTGTGGAACCATTTACCTCTTCAAATTAAATCTGCCCACAGCCTGGATCATTTTAAATCGCTTCTTAAAACTTATTTTTATTCTTCGGCTTTTAATTGAAGCAGTGTTTCACATTCTGTTTTGTTAATTGGTGTTGTTGTCTTTCCTGCAAAGCACTTTGGTGCAGTTTTATACCTGTTTTTAACGTTCTATATAAATAAATTTGACATTGACAAGTTAAGTGACCAAAAAAAAATTATAATTATAATAATAAAAATAAGTAATGAGGCTTTTATTGGTTATTTTATTACAACTATATTTATTTTTTTGTTCAACCTGCAAATTCCACTTTTACCCAATTCTGGGGGTTTAGTTTATTTATAACCTAACATCTGTGTGTCACAATCCTGCAGTTCGTTTGATAAATGGGGTGCTTTTAATCTGACAGGATTAAAAATGTACAAATAAATATACTGAAAGATTTGCTTTCTAAAATTAGAAGAGCGAGATATTCTTTTTACAATATTGAATGAATTTATATCAAGGATTGATGCAATTCTTAAAAAGCACAGAGAAAGTAAATATTGCTTAAATGGGACCTTTTGATGTCATACTTATATTCACTCTTTAGAACTATAATGATTGATCATCAGAATCATCAGATTATTAAAATCAGGAACAAATACAAATAACAATAAAGATATTAGAACCTGTAGATGGATTCCTCAGCCTGACAAAATCTGGATCACTGTTGTGCTTCTGTGTGTTGATTACGGAATCTGTGGATAAAAAATGAAGACACCATCACAATAAATTAATAACTAACAAAGAGCATAAGGTCCCTGTATAATCAATAGGGATTATATTATAAGTGGGCGGGTGGATGGATGGATGGATGGATGGACCGTTAGCTAAAAGTAACCGGATATTTATCTAGTTTATTTAAGCTACCGTAACATGTATCTAACATGTATTAAAACTAGCCTAAAAGCGCCTGTAGATAAAACAAATTATGCAACAGGCGCAGTATTTATTAAGGTTTAATAACTATGTTTTTTGTAGCCAGTTAGCATGATTAGCTTAGTTATTTCCCATAGCCTTAAATCTACCTGCGGCGATGACAACCCAGCTGTCATTCTGTGAATTTGGAGTCCGCTTCTTTTTAGTAGCCATGTTGTTTCATTACACGTCGCGTGGCTTTTCCTTTTTCTTTTCCTGTTCTGTTCTTTTTTTTTTTTTTTTTTTTCTTTTTTTTGCCTGACAACACGAGCTTAGAAAACGCGCCTCTCGATGTGACCACTTCCTGTACCGGTCATGCACAAGTCCCTATGTTTTTAAATGCGGCTGTATTAAATCAGCCCATTTCTAATTTTATATTAGCAAAAGTAGATTATATTTATACAAATTTATGCCTTTGTTATTAATTAAACGTTTGGGAAAAAACGCACTGTTTCAGACTTATAATTTGACCTATTTACCCTTTGTTTTTGCACAGTGGTATGTTCCAATATAAGCCCAAATTTACCGTAAGTTTTCCTATATGGCCACTAGAGGTCGCCCAATGATTTTTATTAAATTTCAATAGTGGCAAATTCTCTGAGCCTTCTTTTACTCTATTATATTTTAGATATTCGCGAAAGTAATTGGTATTTACCGATTCAAGATTAAGGCCCTCCTCTTGTAAAGTGCAATAATTTTTGTTGGCCATTTGTCTATTTGGCACACCGGCATATAACAGATTGAGGCATCCATCTGTGCTTTAATGAGAGGAGGGAATCTTTCTCTCTCTCTTTCTCAGGATGTGACACTGTGCATCCCAGCTGGTTTTCAGTGACTCATTTGTTTTTTTGTTGATGTTTTTTTTTTTTTTCTGTTGTTACTTCCTTCTGTCCTGCTTATGTGCATGACTAAAAACGGTGTGTTGGAAGCTTAGGTTTGTACTGTACATTTGGTGATGTTTTGCATCACCAAATGTTTCCATGTATATTTTGCTTTTGTGCAGATGCATCACATAGAGGGAAAGGTGCAAAATTATTTATACCCCTCAGATTGTTTTTCGTTTTCTCAACTTTCTCAATATATTCACATATCTCACTTGGATTTTGTGTGACAGACCAAAATTACACGTCATAGGAAAGTTAAAGGAAAATTATAAAGGAGTTTGAAATTAACTAGAATAAAAAATCAGAAAAGTTTAGCACAAATCCACATTTAAATACAATAATATCTATTTATGTCTCTACCAGTGATTCACATTATTCCCATATATTATTTTTTATTCCTTTTTTTGTTTGTTTGTTTTGCTTTTTTGCAAAATATATCAAGATTAATAAGACTGATTTGAGAGCATTAGTGAATATCACTTTCCAGCCCTGTCATCATCATTATGCTTTGATCAACACAATCTAATTGTATCTATGCAGCCTCAGAGGTTTTCTTACAGGATTGTCCCATTGTTAGCCAGCCATCTTTTTATTTAACTTTATTTCAGTCTTTAGACTAAATGTCTTTCCAATTTGGTACATTATAAAATGTTAAGTCATAGAGAATAATTATTTTTTTACAGCTTGTTACATAACTGGGGAAACCCATTTCTTTACACCCAGGTGAATATTTATTTAAAGGTTTATGTTTTTCTGCAAATAGGTTTAATTTGACTTTCCTTATATCTGAGATCAATTATGTCTCCTGTCGTTAATACTCAAACACGTAAGTCCATATTGTATTAGTTTGTAGTTTTTTCTGAATAACCTACATAATTATTATTTCATAAAGTTTCCATCAGAAAAAAAAGCTAAAAAAAAATGATGGGAATCTATCTTCTTTCCAACTGTGAATAACGGGTCCAACCAGCATGATTCTCTCACTGCCGTGCTTCTCTAAGGCCATTATGTGTTTAGGGTGAGGTAAGACTTAAATCTTGGTCTCATTTGACCAGAATGTCTTCCACATGTTTGTTACATTCTCTTTATGCCTTATTCGCTTTTCTTATGGCTTTCTCACATTGATGGTTTTATTCTTGGCACTTACTATAGCCACCAAATTAATGATGTGTTTATAGATTGGGAAGTGAAGTTGTGAGGGCTTTTGGATTATGGCTTAAACAATGAGATGTTTAGAGCTAGATATGGTTTTCTAACCTAATCCAACTTTAAAGTTATCCACAACTGTTACTTCTCTGGTGTGTCCTTAGGTCTTTATTAAGCTGTTCCGTTGAGTGATGCAACCAGGGATGGTAAAATTAAGGAGATTGAGTATGTGGCGAAGCAGAATGTGTCAAAGTCTAAGGGGTATAGATAATTTTACAAAGATCTGTTGCTCACCAAGGAGAGTCTGTAACCGCACACGATTACTTATAGTTTATGTTACTTTGGCCGTCTTATTTTCCTGCCGTTTCTTCTTTTCATGTCTTCACCACTTTGTTTTTTTTTTCTTCTTCTGACTTTGTAAGAACCGACTTTCTTTTTTCCAAGCCCACTTGCCCAGATTTGAGGAACACATGTTCTGCTGCCTTTGAACACAGTCTAAGCACCGCCTACAAATCACTTAGATTTATGCCACTGTAGTCTGTGGCAAAAAAGAACACGGATGAGATATTGTCTGTGAATTACTCATTTTATGGGTCCTCGGAGAACCGTACACAACAGTATGACCCACTAAAACAGAATATTGCATGAAAGCTTTCATTTATATCTTTTTTTGGGGTAGGGGGAGGCCTCTGTGCTTTTGATGGCCAGGCAGAACAACAGCAGCCTTTTTTGGTGCACTGGACCACAGACAGCCCCCAAGAGCCAAGCTTTCTGTCATCAGCATGCGAGAACAAAGTGGGTCTAAATTTAGGCCCGTGGCTTTGGACCCCCCATGCTGTAGACCTCTTGATCCTCCTCCAAACCTTTCTCCACAGTCCGCATTATTCTCGATTCCAATAAAGAACATTTTAATGCAGTTCAAGATTGTTCCATCGTCCTTCCCCGTCTCTAATTTCATTATCCCCCTTTTTTCGACATAAATTGATTGGTGTTAACGTCTCTTGAGAGTTCACTTTAGTTGTAGATGGCTGGGTTCCTTCAGCTGAGCGCATTAGGATCCTATAATTTGCAGCATAGATGAAGCTTGCATATGACATGAGCATTTATGCTCTTTAAAGGGGCTTTATCGAGGATCCATTTTATCCACCTCATCATTTAACTTCAGCATATTTAAAAAAGAAACTAGCATTTCTATCTGAAGTTACTGCTAGGAGACGTGAGATAAAAATAGAACTGCAACGTCACTTTGATGTCATTTATTCTGCAAAGATCCATTTACAGATTATTATTTTTATAACCGCTGATAAAGCCACATTTTTAATGTTGAACTAATAGAAATCACAATTTTATATCCTGATTAATGATTAGACAGAGTCGCATGGAGAGAAACAGAAGAAAAGAATAGATGGGGAGAGCGTTTCCCATTGCAGCAAAGAGCGTTTGAGTCATCATCTGGGATTCCCTTCCTCCCATTCCAAATATGGGTGGGATTGTGAGAAAGCGAGCGGAAGAATGTGAAAGTGCTGTGGAACCCCCTAAATGTGATGTCAGAGCCAACAGCCAGATTCACACTGCCTGGAAACTCGCAGGAAGGAATGTCGGGAATGCCAGCATCATTGCATTTCGCTCTGGCATGTTTGTAAAATGTCTGTAGCAGCACCACACACACCTCCTGCTTAATCATCCATTCACACACACACACCCCCACACACATACGTGTAGCATGTTTCACCAATCCTCTCACTGGAGAGATATTTATTCCCGTAAAGTCTTATTCCCTTCACTCACCCACCCATGAGAGGGTGAGTCCTTCTTCCCAGCATCAGGCGCTCTATGTGAGGCCCCTGGATAAATGTGGTGTTTTCCCTCTGCCTGTCTGAGAACCATGTTTGACCATTAACTGTTTCCTGCAAGCATTTTAAAAACGATGGTAGTGAGAAGCAGATATTTCTAGAGCCAGTTGATCATTTTTTTAAAGAAATAATACATTTTTTTATCCTTTTTTTAAAATTGTTCCATTAAATGAACTGATAAATTCACAATAAAAAAAAACAGTTGAAAATACAGTTGAAACCAGATGTTGACTGATACTGAAGGGGAAAGACTCTTCTTTTCTTGCAATCTGACATTAAATAGAACAAAATTCTTCCTGTTTTTTAAGTCAAGATACCTAAGCTGACAGAGTTTAATTTTCCACAATGACACCTTTCTAGTATATGAGGAAAGCAGCCATTACTCCAAAGGTAACATAAAAATTAGTGTTGTGAGGATGCCATTTTTTGGCACCGATACCGATACCCGATACCTGGCTGTGCAGCATTGGCCGATACCGATACCATCTGTATGAAATTGATGTGTGTGTGTGTATATATGAAGAACTGCATACTACTTGGATGTAAAATAATTGCCATCATGGCTTTGTCAAGCTGCTGCCTTCCTTTGTGAAGCAAGAAAAAGACTAATACAAAGTGAATCCAGTAGAACTTTTTATTGCTCACCTGGAATGGGTGACAATAGCTGAATAAACTTTTGGCTCTCAAAATGGTATCGGTGCCCTATTTGTTGGTACTCGCCCATACAGATACCACCATTTCAGTGCTGGGTCGGGGCCCAATACTATTGGTATTGGTGCAACACTTATGAAAATCAGAGGCATGTCGTTCACTGATGAAACTAAAACTTGACATAAAGATCATTGTTACATTTGAAAGAGGAAAGATTGAAGCTTGCAAGCATAAGAGCGCCATCCCAGCTGTGAAACACAATGTTGGCAGCATCGTGGAAGGGGTCTATTTGTTTATTTGAAGGTTTTCCGTATGGAAAATAAGATTGTGACACACTGGAAGCCGTGGTCTATAAAAATTGATACCAACATTAAACTGCATTAGAGATGATATTATAAGATATTGTGAATTGAAGGGCATATTCTAAACTTTTGATAGTATCATACCAAAACAATGTTGTACTTTGGGTTATGTATAAAAAAAATGGTTTGATATTTCTGTAAATGGGCAACTTGTTTTCAGCAAGGGCTTTTATAAATGCCGCAACTGGAAATGAACAACTGTATCAGTGATGTCCTTTTCCTCTATGGGGAGGTCATGCTGTTGTGCACTCTGGTTTACTGTCAGGCTCAGATGAACTCAACCGTCATTAAGGCTATTAGTTGAATTTTGAGTTTTCCTGCTGTG